TCTCTTCTCCTTCCTCCCTTCCTGCTGTATTCCATTATCTCATTGATGAAGGACATTTGGAGAACCTGGCCTATGTGAGACTGTGCTAGGCCCCAAGGACAGCCATCAAAAGACACTGTGGAACTGGGATGGGATGGTGATCTAAGGCGCTTTGCATGCCTGGACTCCTTTTGTTCTGCAGGTCTTAGCACACACATTTCCTCTGAGTGGTCTTTCCTGACCGCTGACCTAGAATATATCCTCCCCACGTTTCACTTCTTCTTCTCCCATTACCCCTTTGACTTCCTCATGCCATTTGTGAAAATCTGAAATTACCATTGTTTTTATTCGTCTTCCCCCACTGAAATATCAGCTGCATAATAGCAGGGACCACGTCTTTATGTTCACTGCTGTATTCCCAGTGCCTAGTTCAGTACCTGGCACACAGCAGGCACCCAATAAACACATTCTGCTGTAATAATATTTTCTTGGCCGGGCGCGGTGGCTCAAGCCTGTAATCCCAGCACTTTGGGAGGCCGAGACGGGCGGATCACGAGGTCAGGAGATCGAGACCATCCTGGCTAACACGGTGAAACCCCGTCTCTACTAAAAATACAAAAAAAAAAAAACTTAGCCGGGCGCGGTGGCGGGCGCCTGTAGTCCCAGCTACTCGGGAGGCTGAGGCAGGAGAATGGCGTGAACCCGGGAGGCGGAGCTTGCAGTGAGCTGAGATCCGGCCACTGCACTCCAGCCTGGGCGACAGAGCGAGACTCCGTCTCAAAAAAAAAAAAAATAATAATAATAATAATATTTTCTTATGATCTTTACTTCACTTCACTAATTTTCTCTTCAGCTGGCCCAATCTGATGTTAAACCTACCCACTGAGTTCCTAATTTTTATTACCGTATTTTTCAGTTCTAGAATTTCCATTTGGTTCTTTACTATAATTTCTAGTTCTCAATCTTGTCCAGTCTCAATCTTATCCTGCTGCTCAGAGGGCAGAAAAGGAAAATGTCTTTGAGTAAAGCATAGTTATTTGAAAATTTGATTGATTATTCCATTATCTGGGTCTTTTGTATAACTTTCTATTATCTGTTTCTGCTTTTGGGTCATGTTGTCTTCAGTTTCTTTGAGGGTTGGGTTGTTGTTTCCTGTTTACTCTCACTTCTCATGGTGGTCCAACCCAAAGCCTAGGTGGGGGGAGTTTGTCAGGGCTCCCCTTTCTTAGAGGATCTAGAACTACAGTTTTTCTCTCATACATTTGTAAGTATGTGAAGATGAGAAAGCTTGGCTCAGTTTCTCAGCTCTCTCCTCTGCAAGTGGCAAATACTTTTAGGAGAAAAGCAGCTCCAAATAAAGGGCTTGCTTCTCTCAGCCCCTTATTTCTTTTCTGCATCGGTAACTTTTCAGTACTGACTCTACTGTTGCTCCATAGTAAATATTTACTGGATGAATAAATGCAGGACTACTAGGCTCGAGGGTGGGAACAGATCTAGACACATTACACACACTCATTCTTCCAGCAGTCCCTGACACCTACTCTGTGCCATGTTCTGTGCTGTGCTGAATAAGAGAAGTGACAAAACCTAGTCCCAACCCACAAGGGACAGACCATATTCTTGGTAGTCACGATCTTTAGAACAGCGGTCAACAGAAAGGGCCCTTCGAACATTTAGGAACTCTGAGTTTCCTAGGGAAAGCAGAAAGTTTCCCTGGGGAAGGGGCTTCTAAGCTAAATATTGAAGAATAAAGAAGAGTTTGCAGTCTGGGCAACATAGCAAAACTCCATCCCCTAGCACCCCAAAAATTAGCTGGGCATGGTGACATGCACCTGTAGTCCCAGCTACTTAGGAGAATGAGGCGGGAGGATTGCTTGAGCCCAGGAGTTCGAGGTTACAGTGAGCTATGATTGCACCACTTGTACTCCAGCCTGGGTGACAACGGCAAGAACCTGTCTCGACAGGAAAAAAAAAAGTTTGCCAGGTAAAATAATTGGAGAAGGGCTTTCCTTGCACAGGAAATACACGGACTGTAAAAGATACTCCTCAGAGTGTCTGGAGGTGAAAATGAAGCTTCTGAGGTTTGCAAGAAAATGTTTCCAAATGAGAGTCTGGCATTTAATATCCTTGCAGGCATCTCCAGCACGGGAAACTATAACACAGCTGGCCCCAGGCTCGTCCTGTCTGGCTCCCTCTTTGTAAGAGGGGAGAAGATTGCACAGTGTGATGGAGCTCATTTTCAGCAGAGTAATCTCAGACTTCAACATGGGTATCCTGTCTCCTGTGCTGGTGCCCTTCTGGCACGGGACACTTCCCTAGCTCTCATGAACCCTACAATCACTTACCCCCACAGGCACACCAAAGGCAGTTGAGAACTTGAGTCAAGGGTGAGGAGAGACCTCTGGGTGAAAAGGGCAGGGATGGGGAAAGAGGTTGATGGGTGGCTGGGGGCCCCTCCCTCTCCACTTCCTGGCTTTCTCTCATCAGCTTTGACTCTCAGTTCTTCTTTTCTTTCACCTTTTTTTTTTTTTTTTTTTTGAGATTGAGTTTTTCTCTTGTCACTCAGGCTAGAGTGCAATGGCGCCATCTCGGCTCACTGCAACCTCCTTCTCTTAGGTTCAAGCGATTCTCCTGCCTCAGCCTCCTAAGTAGTTGGGATTGCAGGCATGCACCAGCACACCTGGCTAATTTTTGTATTTTTAGTAGAGACGGGGTTTCACCATGTTGGCCAGGCTGGTCTTCAACTCCTGACCTCAGGTGATCCACCCACCTCAGCCGGCCCTTTTTTTTTTTTTGAGACAGGGTCTTGCTCTCTCACCCAGGCTGGAGTGCAGTGGCACAATCATGGCTGGACCTCCCAGGCACAAGCAATCCTCCTGCCTCAACCCCCAAGTAGCAGAGGCTATAGGTTTGTGCCACTATGCCCAGCAATTTTTTTTTTTTTTTTTTTTTTTGAGACGGAGTCTCGCTCTGTCGCCCAGGCTGGAGTGCAGTGGCCGGATCTCAGCTCACTGCAAGCTCCGCCTCCCGGGTTCACGCCATTCTCCTGCCTCAGCCTCCCTAGTAGCTGGGACTACAGGCGCCCGCCACCTCACCCGGCTAGTTTTTTTGTAGTTTTAGTAGAGACGGGGTTTCACTGTGTTCACCAGGATGGTCTCGATCTCCTGACCTCGTGATCCACCCGTCTCGGCCTCCCAAAGTGCTGGGATTACAGGCTTGAGCCACCGCGCCCGGCCATTTTTTTTTTTTTTTTTTTTTTAGAAATGGGGCCTCTGTATGTTCCCCGGGTGGTCTCAGACTCCTGTGCTCAAGTTATCTGCCTGCCTCAGCCTCCCAAAGTGCTAGGATTACAGGCATAGCCCCCATGCCCGGCCTCAGCCAGATCTTCCCTGGGCTTGCAACATAAGGCCCAAAACAATAGAATAGAAGTGAGGGGAGTTTTCCCTTTACTACCAACCACGTGAATGAGGCCTAAAGTGAACTAAGGAAGGGAGAGTGGGCCAGAGCCAGGGCTGTGGTCACCAACTCCTGGAGTCTGGAGGGAGTTGGTGTAGGGGAGGAGGCGGGAGTGGCAGAGAATCAAGACTTAATGGGTGAATTCTAGGGCAGCCCCAGAGGTTACGTACGTGGCTGTGGCTTCAGACAGACCTGGATTCAAGGTCAAATGAGACTGGCTCCACCATTTACGATCTTAGCAAGTCACTTAACATCTAAGCCTCAGTTTTTTCACCAGTCAAATGGGGATAAACATAACACCTGCTGCAGGGCACCACAGAGGGAATCAAGTGAGGGAATGCATAAAGCATGGAGCACTGTCCAGGCCAGCTTTGGGATTCCTCTCATCCGCCCACCCCTCCCTGGGCCCTCACAGCCACTCCCTCACCCCAGTCCCCTTCCACCACAGCTTAGTCACCCGCTTGTCCCTTCCCTCACTCCCCTCACTCATCCTCAGCTAATACAAACAACCCATCTGCTTGCTACTTTCTCTACCCAAACCACAAAATGCTAGGTCTTGACTGGGCGCGGTGGCTCATGCCTGTAATCCCAGCACTTTGGGAGGCTGAGGCAGGCGGATCACTTGAGGTCAGGCATTTGAGACCAGCCTAGCCAACATGGTGAAACCCCGTCTCCACACACACACACACACAAATACAAAAAAGTAGCCAGGCGTGGTGGCACACACCTGCAGTCCCAGCGATTCAGGAAGCTAAGGCAGGATAATTGCTTGAATCGAGGAGGTGGAGGTTGCAGTAAGCCGAGATCGTGCCACTGCACAGAGCAAAACTCTGTCTAAAAGCAACAACAACAACAACAAAAACCCCAACAACAACAACAACAAAACAAAACGCAAGGTCTTAAACTTCAGAAATAATCTATTTCAGTCTTCCCAGTTCCTTGAAATGAGGAACTGAGGCCTAGAGAGAGAAAGCCCAACTAAAACCAGGCTTCCCGATTCCTCATCTCCAGCACTTTCACAGAACTCTACCATCCCCTCTACAATCTAAATATTTCCCAAGCTTTCATTCAGAACCTGCAGCCCATCTACAACCTTCCCTTGAAACCTAAATCTATCCCAGCCTTTCTCCTTGAGCTCCTATACCCTGCCCCTATCTTCTTTAAGCAACAAACTCATTTATGACTATTTGCTATGTGCTGGCTCTTTTAAAATTGGTTATTATTACATGTAATCCGGCAGTTCTTTTGTTAAACGGTCAGAGAGGTAGAGTTTCTGGCCCAGGGTCTCAGAGTTGGTCAGTGATTAGACCAGGATTCAGCCTGCAGGATGCATGACTCCAAGCCTCGGGCCCTACTTACTCCCACCGTTGCCTCTGGATTGACCTCTCTCCTATCTCCTAGGATCTAGCCTGCTCCCTCAGCCAGGGCCTTAGAACCTAGGGCCTGGTATTATCCAACCCCAGATCTGCAGAAAGGAAGCCACACCCCTCCTCCACCTTGTAGGCCGTCCTTCCTCTCCCTGCCTCACCCCGCCTCCCCTGCCTCCTGGTTCAAAAGCAGCCAAGCCAAAAGAAGCCTCCAGACAGCCCTGAGATCACCTAAAAAGCTGCTACCAAGACAGCCAAGATCCTACCAAAATGAAGCGCTTCCTCTTCCTCTTACTCACCATCAGCCTCCTGGTTATGGTACAGGTAAGAGCAACCCCTGGCACCACTGCCAGGACTCCCCAAAGTTGCTTGGCATGGAGGGAGGGCATACAGGATGTGAGCTCCCAGAGACCCAGCCTTCTCTCCTGAGAGCACAGCAGATGGACTCCAACAGGAAAATCAGGGACACAGCGGGCCTGGCCGCCCAGCTTTCCAGTTCTTCTGGCTGGAGCTGGACTGCTTGCAGGCTGCCCTGATAGAAACCTGTATCCAAGCTGGGGAGCACTTACAGGGTGCCAGGAGCATTGGGGCACCCAAGGGGTGCTGTGGAATAATAGAGAATTAAGAGACTTGGGAAGACAACCCTAAGTGAGGAAGACATCGGCCCACAGGGAGTCTGGGGAGATGGTCCTTTGGGGAGAGGCCAGATGTCCAAGTGGAGCCTGCTGTGGTTCTGGAGGTGACAGGGGACACTCCAACCCCCACTCCCCTGCCAGAGAGAAGCCTGGATGTTCAGGAATGCAAAGAAGACAGGACTCTCCCACTTCAGAAATAATTGGAGTCTCAAAAGCGACTGCTATTCCAGGAGGCAGCTTTGGTAGCATCCCAGGTGCCCAGAGGGGAGTCAGTACAGGAGACCGGACATCAAGTTCTTGATCAAGGACAGCTTGATCACCATCAAAACCAGCTTAATCTCCATCAAGAACAGCTCTAGTTGCAGCTCCATCAAGCATTAAGGACAGCTTGATCACCATCTGGCCACTTCCCCACCCCACATCTAGCCACCCACGCTTTGCAAAGTGCTTTCTCACTCAGCCCGGGCTCTTGTGACCTTCACTACTGTGATGAACTTCTCCCCACTCAGAAGAGGAAACTGAGGCTCAGGGAAGCTAAGCCCTATGCCAGGCTAGGAAGGTCAAGGGCCAGGGCTCCTGTCTCCCTCTATGCCAGAGGGGCTGGTGGCTGGGGAGAGGTAAAAAGAAAGGTTCTGTGACCGGGCACGGTGGCTCACGCCTGTAATCCCAACACTTTGGGAGGCCGAGGTGGGCTGATCACCTGAGGTCAGGAGTTCAAGACCAGCCTGGCCAACATGACAAAATCTCGTCTCTACTAAAAATACAAAAATTAGCTGGGTGAGCCAGGCACGGTGGCTCATGCCTGTAATCCCAGCGCTGTGGGAGGCTGAGGCGGGCAGATCACGAGGTCAGGAGATTGAGACCATCCCGTCTAACACGGTGAAACCCTGTCTCTACCATAAATACAAAAAAAAATTAGTCAGTCATGGTGGTGGGTGCCTGTAGTCCCAGCTACTTGGGAGGCTGAGGCAGGAGAATGGTGTGAATCCAGGGGTGGAGCTTGCAGTGAGCCGAGATCGCGCCACTGCACTCCAGCCTGGGCGACAGAGAGAGACTGTGTCTTGGGGGGGAAAAAAATTAGCTGGGTATGATGGTGGGCGCCTATAATCCCAGCTACTCGGGAGGCTGAGGCAGGAGAATCGCTTGAAACCGGGGGTGGAGGTAGCAGTGAGCCGAGATCGCACCACTTCACTCCAGCCTGGGCAAAAGAGCGAAACTCTATCTCAAAAAAACAGAAAGATTCTGTGAAATGGGGTGGGCAGGGGCAGTGATCACCTCTGTCCCTGCCTGTGTCAAAGCAGGGAGCAGCCAAACATCCTGACAGGACCTTGTGGAAGAAGTAGTGGTCACATGGGACAGAACTGAGGACTGTTTTATGGAGGTGGGGGGATGGAGGGCAGGGAGGGTAGAAAGGGGGCTGCATCTTTAAATAACAAACAGGAGATTCAGAAGTCCCCTGAGGGCTGGGTATGGTGGCTCACACCTGTAATCCCCGCACTTTGGGAGGCCAAGGCGGGTGGATCACCAGGTCAGGAGTTCGAGACCAGCCTGACCAACATGGTGAAAACCCGTCTCTACTAAAAGTAGAAAAATTAGCCAGGCGTGGTGGCATGTGCCTATAGTTCCAGCAACTCAGGAGGCTGAGGCAGGAGAATCACTTGAACCCGGGAGGTGGAGGATGCAGTGAGCCGAGATCGCACCACTGCAGTCCAGCCTGGGTGACAGAGTGAGACTCTGCCTCAAAAAATAAAATAAAATAAAATAAAATAAAATAAAATAAAATAATAAAGTCCCCTGAGCTTATCCCACTTCTCCTCCTGCAGATACAAACTGGAGTCACCAGCCAAAACGCCACCAGCCAAAGCAGCCCCTCAGCATCCAGCAACTTGAGTGGAGGCGGTTTCCTTTTCTTCGTGGCCAATGCCATAATCCACCTCTTCTACTTCAGTTGAGGTGACACGTCTCAGCCTTAGCCCTGTGCCCCCTGAAACAGCTGCCACCATCACTCGCAAGAGAATCCCCTCCATCCTTGGGAGGGGTTGATGCCAGACATCACCAGGTTGTAGAATTTGACAGGCAGTGCCATGGTGGCAACAGCCAAAACAGGGGGGTAATGATGTAGGGGCCAAGTACTGCCCAGCTGGGGGTCAATAAAGTTATCCTTGTACATGCAGTGGGGTCCTGTGTGCGGTTACTGTCCATTCCTATGCCCCAAGAGCCAGCTGTGCAGCAGCACCAGGGAGCTTCCCATTCCCCCATCAGCAGGGAAGTTGGCACCAGGGAGCAGCCCCCAGCTTCCCGACCTAAATTCCAACGCTGAGGGCCCCTCCCCTCAGAAGCACATTACGGGGACAAGGCCCAGAACCTGGCAGCCTCACCAACCCCTGCAGTTGCATTTGCTTCACCCATCCCTGGGTGTTTGGGAATGATGGTACTAGAGATGCCACTACCCTGGACATCCCAGGCTCAGAGAGCCTCTACCCCACTACCTGGGTATCTTCAGAATGACAAATCCAGGGAGATCCCCAGACCCAGGGACACCCCTCAACATGGTCTTTAGATCCCCAGCAAACCAGCCCCACAGGCATCTGGAGCTGGAGAAGGATGACTGGTGGCTGTCTACCTCCCATGCTGGCCCAGGGGCTGGGAAGGCAGGAAGGGCAAGCAGCTGCTCTGACCACTCCCACCCTCCTGGGCTTGGGGGAGGTGGGTGCTGCAGAGATGGAAGGGAGCCCCAGGGCACCCCCCACGGGCCCCTCCCACCTTGGCTTCTTCCTTGAGGACCTCCAGGGACAGAGGGAGCTCCCCCTCTTCTATGTCCTGCCCTCTCTGAGGTGGGTTAAAGACCCAGACGCCCTGTCCTGGCTTCTCTAAGACCAGAGTTGGGGTGAGTGCAGCAGAGCCCTGGAGGCACAGCCCTTCAGGGTGTGGCTCACACTTATCTCCCGTGCCTGGCCCAGGGCGCCCCCATCACGCTAACTTCCACGTTTTCACCCTGGACTTGTATGCATCCCTAGAATATTCTTTATCTCTGCCTCCTGGAGTCTGGCTAACTCCTTCCCACCCTGACAACTCAGCTGCAGGTCCCTGATGTGTGCAGAGGGACATCTCAGCCTGCCCTGCACCCCTTTGGGGGGGTGACGTTCCTGCTGTGTGAGTCCCTCTACTTCTTTCCTCCCTTCTCATGGATGCATCACCCTACCCGTCAGGATCCTCTATGGGACTGGGAGTTCCCTAAGGACAGGGACCAAAAGGCTCAGTTTGTGTCTGTGCCCGCACAGCCGAGGGCTGGCTCAGACCCGGCTCTCACAACACATCATTTGGGTGGCCGTGCAAGACTACACTCCCCAGTTAGTCCGGTCCCAGGGCGCCCTCTGATGGCAGAAGGAGACCTAACAGCTGAACCCCAAAGCTGGAGCCAGGAGGGAAGAAGTCAGCCTGAGCCTCAGGGAAGAAGCCAGCCTGAGCATCAGGGAAGAAGGCAGGTGAACAAATCCCCACCCCACCCCGAAATATCAAGGCGCACAGAGACAAGGGTACCTGGCAGCATACTAGAAAACAGCTTATGTTACAACAAAAACCCTATAAAAACATTCATCCCAGCAAAAGCCTCCAGGGCTGGAGGTTGAGGTGAAAAGGTTCAAAGCACATGGATGGTCCAGATCTGGGATGCCCTGTCCTCATCCGGCTCCCATAGCACCACGTGGTCCCGGTCGTAGCCCCGGCCTCCTGGGGGTGGGATGGGGATTAAAAGATAGGGAGATAGTCAGAGAGAGCTGGGACTCCATGGCTCTCAGTCCCCTCAGGAGCCCTCTTCCCCGTACATCCCACCTTACCCTTCACATCCAGGATCTGGCCTTCGAACATCTGGCTGCAGATGTGGCCGGATTCACTGATGCTCCACGTCTGGCGCGGCAGGCGGCTCTCGGCCCACAGCACCACCTTGGAGCCTGGGCTAGGGGGTCCAATTACCTGCAGGCTCATGGTGGGGGCCATCTGAGGCCCCAGGAGGTCATCAGGCATTGTTCCTCCCCACAGGGACTCTACTGTACCCAAGAAACCCTTGACACATCTGCTCCAAATCCTGGCTCTTAGGGACTGTGGCCCTGGGCAAATCTCTTAATCCTCCTCAGCTTCAGTTTCCTTGGGGATGGAAATCCCCAAATGCTGGCTTTTGCAAGGGTTCAGCATGAGAAAACATAAAAGGGTTGGAAAGAAAAATATTAACTCCTCCAGGAATCCTTCCATGACTGGCTTTCAAAGCGTAGGCTTTAGCATCAGACAAATCTCTACACATTTACTGGCTGTGTGACTTTCAGCAAATTACCTAACCTCTCTGTGCTCTGGTTTCCTCACCTGTAAAATGGGGAATATAAAAAGACCTGCCCCATGCTACTCTAGACTAAAGATTATAGGAGGCATTTGTGTGAAGAACTCAGTGCAGAGCCTGGCACGTGGTCAGCCATCTCTCTCATTCTAAGTAAAAGACAAAACCTCTCAATGGTCTATAAATACCTACAGTCCCCATAACCTTTCTGGCCTCATCTCCTGCTACCTCCCCCTCACTCAACTCACTCTAGCCACCCAGCTAGCCTTGCTAGCCCAGAGCAATCCCAGGCATGTTCCTTCCTAGGGCCTTTGCACTGGCTGTTCTCTCTGCCTGGAACACTCTTCCCTCAGATATCTGCACGGCTGCCTCCCTCAAATGTCATCTTCTCAGGAAAGGCTCCCATATCATACCTGATACTTCCTATGCTCCCTTTTTTTTGAGACAGAGTCTCCCTCTGTTGCCCAGGCTAGTGTGCGGTGGTGTGATCATAGCTTACCACAGCCTCAATCTCCTGGGCTCACGCAATCCTCCCACCTCAGCCTCCTGAGTAGCTGGGACTACAGGTGCATGCCACCATGTCCGGCTAGTGTTTTTACTTTTTGTGGAGATGGCGTCTTATTATGCTGCCCAGGCTGGTCTTGAACTCCTGAGCTCAAGAGATCCTCCTGCCTCACTCAGCCTCTCACAGTGCTGTGATTACAGGCGTGAGCCACCGCGCCTGGCCTATTCTCCTTTCATGATTTATCTTCCTCTATTGAACTTTCATCATCTAAGACACTAAGATATTCTGCCCATTTAAGTTATTTCTGTATGGCCGGGCGCAGTGGCTCATGCCTGTAATCCCAGCACTTTGGGAGGCCGAGGCGGGTGGACCACGAGGTCAGGAGATCGAGACCATCCTGGCTAACATGGTGAAACCCCGTCTCTACTAAAAATACAAAAACTTAGCCAGGCCTGGTGGCGGGCACCTGTAGTCCCAGCTACTCGGGAGGCTGAGGCAGGAGAATGGCGTGAACCCGGGAGGCGGAGCTTGCAGTGAGCCGAGATCGTGCCACTGCACTCCAGCCTGGGCGATAGAGCAAGACTCCGTCTCAAAAAAAAAAAAAAAGTTATTTCTGTCTATCTCTCCCCACTAGGATGTAAGCTTCAGGAAGGTAGGTGCTAATTCTGTCTATAACTGCTATATCCCCAGCATCTAGAACAGAGCCTGGCACATAGTAGGTGCTCAAGAAATGTGTGTGGAGTAAATCTACCTTTTTTCTTATTTTTATTTTTATTTATTTATTTTTGAGATCAGGTCTTGTGCTGTTACCAAGGCTGGAGTGCAATGGCGCAACCCTGGCTCACTGCAGCCTCTAACTCCTGGGCTCAAGCCTCCCACCTCAGCCTCTTGAGTACCTGGGACTACAGGCATGCACCGCTACACCCAGTTAATTTTTTCTTTGGCCTCAAACTCCTGTCCTCTCCTGTCCAAAGCAATCATCCTGCCTCGGCCTTCCAAAGTGTTGGGATTATAGGCATGAGCCACCATGCCTGGCCAAATCTACCATTATTAATAGGGCTCAAGTTCTGTCATAGGCATCAGAGCTGGGAGGTCCCTTAGAAGCACCCAGTTCATTGCTCTTGTTTTTGCAGACTGAGGCCCAGAGAAGAGCATGACTTGCCCAGGGGGCACAGTCTGCACTCTCCCCTCCCCAGGGTCCTGGCTTCTGTGTGCGTCCCTCTGTGTTCCGATTGGGATCGGACTCCTCAGCGTGGACCCACAAATGCCTAGGGCCAGGGTGTCCCTGTCCCAGCCCCTGTATCAGTACCTGGTTCTTCAGCAGCCCATCCTCGTAGTACCAGATGCAGCTACCTCCCGCTCGGGGGTCGGAGACCACCACACGGCCTGCCTTCATGTCCTCCACATGGTCCGGCACTGCCAGGAATCCCCCCAGTGCTGCATTCCAGAGGCGGAAATAAACCCGGCGCTGGTGGCAGAAAGAGGCTGAGAGTCAGGGGTGCCAGGGAGGGATGACCTGGGCCCCCAATACCCTCAACTCCGGACTCTCCAGTATCAGGCTCCCAAGCCCTCCTTCCTGTCCCCAAACTTTCCTTGACTCTGTTTCTAAGTCAACGCTTTTTTACACACACATATGGAGAGCACATGTATCACACACACACACACACAGTTTCGTGGTCGTAGAGATACCCACAGATGTGTACAGAGGGACAAACTGACAGATACACCTCTGGTCCACACGGTGGCAAAGAAGTTCACAGAAGACACAGACACATGGATACACGCAGCCATCCAACTCAGATGTTCTAACCACAGATCCATGCAGTCTACTCCATACCAGGCAGCTCTGCTTGCTACAAGGATGGATGTGTGTGGGCATACAGATGTGCACACATACTTACAGAAAGAAATGCACACACACCTGTGTTGAAGAGGGTTCCTGACAGGGTGGACACTGGACTGTCAGACATCAGACACGGCTCTGCCATAAATCAGCTGGAGCTCTTAGATGGTAGTGAAAGTAATAATAGTAGTAACAATAATCACAGCTAACATTTGTTGAGAGCTGACTCACTCAAGCACTGTTCTAAGGGTTTTACCTACATTATCTTCAGTCCTCAAAACAGACCCATGACACATGTTATCCTCATTTTAAAGATGAGGAAATGAAGGTCTAAGGAGGTACAGTACTTGCCCAAGATTGCAGAGCAAATCCGTGTCCACTTCTCTGGGCCTTTATTTCCCCATCTGTAAAATGTGAGGGGTGGAGATAATCTCCAAGATTTCTCCCAGCAATGATGTTATGAGTCTTGAATACAAGGACTATACAAATATCCCTAT